ACCTACAAGATTGAATCCTCAATTATTACCAGAAATAGCACATTTGAGGGTGGAGTATGCTTGAAATGACCTCGTGACATGATACTCGTATAAAATCACCAGACAAACCTCTCCAGGAGGCCGGCTGTAATCGACCGGGTTTCTTCCAGAAATTATCTCCATGATAAGCACACCAAAGCTGTACACATCACTTCTTTCGTTTAACATGCCAGTACTGGCATATTCTGGAGCTACATACCTGTGAAACAGACCAAGTCACCTGTCCAGTGAGGTCCAGGTCACCACTGTTAAAAACAATGTTTTAATATTTTTTCTAAGAAGAAATCAAACTGACCCGAATGTTCCCATCACACGTGTTGTTACATAACTTCTCTCTGATCCCAAGAGCTTTGCAAGGCCAAAATCAGAGACTTTTGGATTCCATTGCTTATCGAGCAATATGTTGCTTGACTTGATATCACGGTGAACCACCTTAGGTTCGAGTCCCTCGTGAAGGTATGTCAACCTACATATTCCCCCGTCGTCAATTTGCAATCACGTAAAACAAGAAATAATGTTGGAGAAAAAGAGAAATTCACGGAAATGCATACCCTTTAGCTGTTCCAAGTATTATATTCATGCGAATATCCCATGTCAGAGGGCTAGAAGGCCCAAGGTCCCCGTGAAGCCACTGTTCTAGGTTTCCATTGTTCACATACTCGTACACAAGCATCCTGCAATATTTTTAGTACATTCAGGTGAAATTTGGCGCAAAATGTTTAGGCATCCAGCGCAGTAGTTTGAAAGTCTTAACAACTATAAAGGGAAATCAAAGATGTAAATAATGAACAATGAAAAACATACCGATGGGCTCCTTCAACACAATATCCAAGTAACCTCACCAAATTCTTGTGCCGAACACGTCCAATTGCTTCAACTTCTACCTTAAATTCCTTTTCAGCTTGTCCCCTACAACATCAGTGCGCAAACCATTTAATGGAAGATGGAGTCCATAACAACTTATACCATATGACAAAGACGATTACAATCAAGTACGGCTTACCTGTTGTTCAGCAAATTCTTAATCGCAACTTTGGTATCATCCTCCAACACCCCGCGATAAACAATTCCGTAGCCGCCTTCACCTACGACGTTCTCGTCCGCAAACCCGTTGGTAGAGACCTCGAGCTCTCTGAGAGTGTACCAATGGCCCCACCCCAAATGCGAAACCTCAGGCACAGAAATTGAACCCTGGTCACCACTTCCATGCGATGAACCACCACCCTTCTCAGGATACGAAATCCGGTGATCTTTACCAATCTCTATGTGAATTCTTTGGCTACCATCCCCCTGCTGCTGAACGAGCATGGCTTGGGCCCCATCCGCCTTAGCCTCTGCTTCTGGATACGAGTCGGACTTTCCATGGCTTGGGTCACCCGAAGGGTCAATCCTGATTTCCTGGATCTCCTTAGAGACATTCGGAATGGTAGGATTGTGTGAAGAGTTGTGGTTGGAGGAATTGTTGTTGCGCTTGGTGAACCAGAGAGATATGAGAAACAGAACAATAACTATAGCTGCTCCTACGCAAATGCCCAGCACAACCCACAATCGTAACCCAAAAATTGAGGTGTGCGTCGAAAGCTGATCGTTCAGAAACACATAGTTCGTCATTGCTCTCTCCTCTTCCTTCCTCTCAACAGGGATTTAATTTAATTGGCTAACACAGTCGCAGGCATGTTGATAGAATCAGGCCGCTAAAGAGGCAGAGGAAGAAGAAGGTACAGCAAGATGTTAGAAGGACGGAGAGTGGGTGTGGCAGTGGAACGAAGTGGGGTTTAGACAGAGAAGGAATGGAGCTGGCATGATGGGACTTGTATAATAGGAGGAGGAAATTTCCCACTTTGAAGTGTTTTACTATTTTCTCGGTGAGGCCCCTTCCCTTCTGTGTGTTCCAAAACGATGTTCTGATTTATTCCCAGAAAGTAAGGATAGTTGCACTTAGCGTCTCAGCAGCATCAAAACCCTGTCTGCTTCTAATTTCATGTTTGGGTCAGAAGTAACTGTGTAAAGAGATAGATACGCCGTATTAGGGGATTGTCTAAATGTTTATGAAATCCTGTTGTCGGGATTAGTACTGATACCCATACCATTTTGATTATAAAATTCTAAAAGCATCGGCCTTTCCAGGAATCGACTTCATTTTATAATGCAGGGAGCATCGAAAAGTCAAGATGCCCACCGGGTGCTCTATTTTATTATTTTAATTTAATCAATGAAATTAATCATCTGGGAAGGTTGACCCTTGTTCTGGACTTTCTTAGTGTTGGTTGGTCGTGATTAATTTTCAACCCGTGAATGAATTCATGAATTTAAAGCTTGAGCATGAAATTTATAGTATTTCTTTGACATCAATGTGTCATAATCAAACTATATATGTGTGAAGTTCACTTTAATGCCTCCTAGGTTTGGCACTCGGGGGATCCAGAACTCAGACTTTTCACTTATAATAACTTCCAGAATTTAAAATGATTTTATTTTATTGGAATTTCCTCGATTTTATTTAGATTAACTTTTTTAAAGAAATAATTATGAGAATGGACAATCCATACTAGTCATTAGGAAAGATCCAAATTCTCTTATCCTATAGAGAAAGAATGGCTCATTTCAATATTATGTTAGTGAATGGTATGGATTTTTTTATAAAAACCAAAAACAATTAAATTAAATTAAATTGTTTAACTGCCAATGATATTGTGATATCTAAGTTGCGAGGGAGGTGGGACCAGCATGATCTGTCGTAATGAAGGGTGGATGGGTGTCAAACTCAAACCGGGCTGTCGGATGTGGGCTGATATCACGGGTGAATACCAACATCAACATAATCTACTGCTCACAAAGGTGGGCCCCCCAACCCTCCCCTAAAGAGAAGAAAACAGACAAAACGGGAAGATGGACGTGGGCCCACTCTCTCCTACCTCCTCCTTTTCGCCGCCTCATCCAATCACCTCAACTTTCTCCCTGTAATTTTCTTCCAACGCCAAGCTTGGATTCTTCAGAATAGCTAACAGGAATTTGGAAACCGTGTTGCTTTTCAAACACTCACTCCAACCCCATAACAATTAATCAATTATCCTAAACCATCCAGCCCCATTGGAATCAATACTTCATTTAATATTGTTTGAATCAGTCTCATTATATTGGCCAAAAAAAAAATCAGTCTCATAATGGAATGTGATGTACTCCTCTGGTCCTATTTATAAGGCACTTCCAACATGTTTCACACAAACCAAAAAAAACCTTAAACTGCATTAACTCTCCATTAAAATATAACAACTTTCCAACTTCACCCCTATTTAATATATACTCCTTTCAAAAAAGATAACTATTTACATTATAATAAATGAAGGACAAAATAGTACATTCACACTGAAAAGTTAATGAAGTGCCCTATAAATAGGATAAAAAAAAAAACCTTCTCTTTCTGCCCTATAAATAGAACCAGAGTAGTATTATCCAATATTCATGTTGGATATAGTGTTATGCAACCCTAATCATTATTTCTATTCTTGCCCTCGACCCTTTTTTTTTTTTTTGGACTGAATGCCCTCGACCCTTTGGTTCTCTTTTCTAGGTGGTTAGGTTTTGATGGAGATTTCGCGTCACATTCACTGTAAACGGATCACTTTTCATATATAATTTAGAAGGGAATTGAAAATTTGAGTCCTGATTACATTTAATACCATATGAAAAGAAAGTAAGATGTTACTATTGTATAGGACACAGGTTTAACCAAGTAAAAATAATACTAAAATACAAAACATTTTGCCCATTTTCTTTTATTCTGATTTCTTATTTTTCAATAAACTAGGTAAGAAGACTGAAATATTTTTTACACTTTAATACGCATGAGAAGTTTTTAAATTTTTTTGGACCAAAAAATGTTGTTACATACTATAAAGAGTAAAAGCCACTGATTAAAGTGAAAGTGGCCAAAGTCAGAAAAGCAGCCTTTGATTTTGATGCGTGCATAACTGGGAAAACCACATTTACCGTGACCAGTTATAGTAGTTGTGCAGGCATCAAATTAAATGAGTGGGGCTCTTTTATCTGCCCTTCTGTACTACTGGTCACGTTCAATTTAATGAGAGAAGGATGGTAACTTCCCCTGTCATTTCGAAGAATGACATTCCATTTCATTTCCATCACATTGAAAATGCCCAAACCCAAGCAGCGAAAGAAAATCACTTTGCACTTGCACCATTTCCACTCTCATCAAACCGATAATCTCCCAATCATAACTTCAATACTACTAGGTTACTCGAACTTACAGCCTCATTGTTAAATGAAGAATTATTTAAAACCTCTTCCTTTTTCATTAATATCAACTAAGTTCAATGAAAACTGTGAAACAAGACAGCACAAAGGTGTTTCTACAACTTCAGAGAATTTCTACTCCCCTCCTCTTTTTATAAATAACAACTATTATAAGTTGTCTTAAATTTTTGTAATAAATTTTTTACTCTGTCTCTATTAATAACTTACATTAGTACTCAATATATTTATCATCTTCTTTTCAAACCACCATTTCTATTTGTATTTTCTCTTTTTCACAGTTCTACTTATTATACTCCTCTAATTCTATTTATAAGGCATTGAAAGAAATTTTTTTATATAGATACAAAATTTCACCTTTTATTTATTATTATGTTAATTTTATTTATGAGGTATAATATATATTAAATAAAAATAAAGTTGAAAAATTATTACATTTCAAACTAGAGTTAACAAAATTTAAGATTTTTTTTATTTGTGTAAAACATATTAAAAATAACTTATAAATAAGACTAAAAGAATACTAATTTTCTTATTCTTTGTTATATTCTCTCTCTCCTATAAATACGGATATTTTGGGGAAAAAACTTTTAATTTGTACCTATTTGTTGTTGTCTTTAACTAACATTTTAATTTCTGTAACAGAACAGAATCCAATGTTGCTTATAAAGAGGGGCTAGAATCTAATGTTACTTATAAAAGGGACGGAAGGAATACTAGAATTAAGCTTAAAATTTAGCCCCAAATATCCAATTGGAGGCCCATGAACAATGTAGCAATTTCTTTTACAGAAGATTGTAGACAGAGCCATATCGACTAGAGATCAAGGCCAATAACAATTGATTCAACACCAATTATCAGTGACATGTGGAGATCATTGGCCTTGGATAAATATAAAACAAATATACTATAACAAGAAATCGAGGGGCGGATGAAGGAAAGCTTTCGAAAGCAGAATGGGTGCTACGGAGCAGCCATTTACTAGTCTGCACATAGTAAACGAAGCAATAGAAGCACCCGATTCTCGTTTCAATTAACCAAAATTTCTGAGGTAGCTATGCTAGTTCACTTCATCTTCACCTTTCCTTTCATCTCCATCTTCGGAGATAAAATTGTCGAGGGATCAAGAAACAAATCTCACGCTGACAAGCCCGTTGTCTTACAAATGGGACACAGATTCTTCTGCATTAGCCACTGTTTGATGCAGTTGGTATGGTAATCATGGCCACAGTCAAGCTTTCCAACGTCATCTCCATTGTCAAACTCTTCCTGCACACGAGTTAAGGAACCATATGCTTCAGAATATTATACAAGCATGTAGAGGGCAAAGCACCGGAAGCCGGTTATTCATATTCACCTGACACACACAGCAGGGTTCTGCCTCACATTGACACCCTCCTTCAACTGAATACTTCCTCTGTTTCAGTAGTTTCAATATAGTTTCCTCGCTCAATCCGGTACTCACATTTCCAATCCTTTCTTCCAGAGCCAGTAACTCCTGCGATATTTTTTTAAGTTATATGTCGAGGAATTCACCAGATGAAACATCAACTTCAAATTCGATTTTTTTTTTGGGCGGGGGTTGTTAAGGGCTCAAGGCAGTAAAAAGAGTACGCATATGCATCAAAATTTGGAACTTTTTTCTACCTCGTAAGACATGTTATCGACATCAAGTCGCATGTCCCTGTGCCGGTCATGAATATCAGCCATTCCAGAAAATACTGAATGGTCAAAGATCATAAAATCCTGTCACAAAACAAAAGCACATCTTTGTTGATTAGCAAAGCACATAAATAGTCAAAAATAAAATCAGAAAACTGAAGGATAAAGATTCATGCATGCAGTCAGGGAAGGAGCAGGATTTGAATGCAGAGGCAATTCCACTCCATCAAAAGCAGGCCCAAAGTCTGCCAGCTATTAAAGTATAACTTTGGAAATCCAAGTGCAAGTCTGATCGGAAGTAAAACTAAGTAAACGTGATCTTTTTTAGGTCAGTTAAGGCCAAATTTAACCATTCAATAATAAATGCTCTGCAACAAGAAATATGTCTTTTAGTCGGAGTTGAGGAAAAATCAAATCAATTTTGAATCCGTTCGGTACATTAAACTAGACCAGAGAAAAAGGAGAAAATTTTATTCAACATTTGTGCCTTGTCCATGTATACTATTTACTTAGGAAAACTTACCTCAAACCGAAGGCTCCCTCCCCTACGCATGAGGCCCAAAACACTGCGGAGCTGTGCAACAAAAGAAAAATGAACGTGTCAAGGTTAACAGAACAGTTGACAAAAAATAATTGCCTGAAGCTGGCAGAATAGGGGTATAATTGTCTTTCACTTCTCAGTGGGCCTGACCATACTACCACAACTTCAATTATGTTAAAAATGAGCTAACTAGCAGGCACAAGTACAAACTCGTTGATTAATTATAGAGGAATAATATGTACGTATGGGCTGAATAAAGGAAGATGTAAAGTCTGAACTAGCGAACATACAATGGGAGTGAAATGCGAAGTTGAAAACCACAGTTGTCATGTAGGCCAGTTTCTCCAAGCACAATTTATTAAACGTACATTTAAATAACATAGAAAAGGGGGCTGCTATCAACCAGATGCATCCATATGCTTGAGATATTCATTGATAACAATTATGCCATCCAATAACACAGAATGTAAGTTGATTGGATTAACCACCCAAATCAGCCAGCACGCACCCCAAAAACTTGTGTAGCAAGTGGCCAAAAGGGAAGTAACAGTTCAGAGGAAGCTGTAACCACTGGACCAAGGGATAGTACCAAGATATATAACCAAAACAAGGAATAGGGAGACAAGGCGAACGATTGGTGCTGCCATAGTAGGAAGTGGTTGGAAGGAATTCTGTGAGTAATTCAGCATCAGAAAGAAGACATAACATTTTTTGTTACAAAAAGGGTGAAGCACACTTGCCTCTAGAAAGCCAGTTGTCTTTCTTTCCCATTCATGGTCATTTTCTGGGTGGGGTAATTGGTGCTGGGTTTTGGCCTATATCAGTGCCTGAACTTTTGGCAGAACTCATACCATACCATCTTATATTTGTGTAATTCCAAACGTAAAATCCTTCCTCATTTAATTTTCCCTAACTCTTGGTGATGCTTGTGTGCGCGGGTGTACAAGGCGTTTTAACACAACTATTTAAAAGCAAGAAAACAGAGTTAAGTACAGACCTCAGATACAAGTCTACTACTTCCTTCACTGGCAACAGCCAGAGTTTGCAATGAATAGGGAAGTCTGAAGTTAATATCACCTCGCCTCTCCACCCATGATGATCTTGAGTGTGACTGATGACGTCCTTGACTACCAGCTCGAGATGATGGGGCTCTTGCTTCAGATGAAGCAACAGGAGCAGAGTGCAAGAAAAAATTGCTATTGCTGAAACTTCCAGCAGCCTCAGAACCAGTAGACAACAATGATCTACGAACATAATCAGATAACCTCCGTGGATGATGTACAGGATTGGGACGAGAAAGCCAGGACGGAGCAGATAGTGAATTGATAGCTGAACTTGACCTGGTATGCAGTGAGGAAGCAACATTTCCTGGTATATTTAAATTTGCACTACTTGAAGCTCTGTTGGTTGGATTTCGAGCTGAATTTCTTAAATCAGCCACTGGCACAGACATTGGATGTTCAAATATGCTTCCAGACATGCTTCTTGAGCTTGCTTCTTCGTGTAGTAGATTATCCCTGTCTGACCTGATCATTGAGTTTGACAAATGGCTGTTTCTTGAGTTAGAGCTGCCACTCCATCTAAATGATGGCATATTCCTGTGTAAAGAAGAACTAATTCCGAGGGGCTGGCTTTGAGGAACCAGATCATCTCCAGATGGTGCTGCCCTCAAATCCAGAGAATTACCAACAGGATGAAAACTTTGTGTCAGAGATGAAGGGATTGCAGAATGCCTAGTTACACTGCCATTTGACAATGCAACATAAGGAATGGAATCCTGTTGGTTTGAAGGATTTATCCTCAAACGGGAATTCCTGAGGAAGCTATTAGAGCTTCCTGCGACATTCAGATTATTAAAGCTCTCTGGAGATTCATTGCCCACATCTGGGCCATGTCTTGAACTTATCTGTGCTGACAAGGCAGATCTGCTTAAACTGCTCCGAGAATTACTCTGAGTAGGACGTGTACGCCAAGCACTGCTTTCTATATACTGGCTGCAGCTAGAACTTTCCCCGCCTGAAGATTGTCCAACATATCCTTCAACAGTCTTTCTTTTACAAGATGCACGCCGGGCATCAAGAGCCCTACCATTACTATTATCTACCAAGTTACTTCCAGAAGGATGAGAAAACAGTGCGGGACCAACAATAGGTGGGATAGGCTCATTTACTGATCCACTTGCTTTGTTCAAGCCAGGATGCTCAAGATGTTGCCCCATATTATGGCCAGTGTCTGCTGAACTGGCATTTAGGTTGATATTCTGAGTTACAGAATGAGGGTTGGAGTTGTTCATACACATAGGACTTGTATTGACATTGTCCAAAGAAACTAAATTGGTTGATTCAAAGTGCCGCTCTAATCTTGAACCATCAACAGCATCAACACTTGTTGAAGATGACCATCCATATTCTCTTTTCTGCTCGTCATTGTCAATTGCAATATGTGAACCACTGGAACTTGGCTCACCCATTCTCCAATTATTCATGCTTTTCCATTCATGGTTAATTGAATTTGCATACAATGGGTTCATATCACCAGGCGAAAGCATAAATTGAGGCACTTGATTTTCTACAGGATTCGTCATGCTATCCCAGAAAACCTGCTGATCCACAGTAGCATTACTTGAAGTAGATCCGCAATCAAATTCCAAGGTTTCAGGCAAGGAACCTATTCTACCCCTTGTCCCTTGCATTGGGAGAATCTGTAAGTTTCCCCGTTCAATAGAGGTTAATAAATGTATAAAAAGAATTCCTCAATAGAGCATCATGTCACTGTTTGAAAAAAATCCCTGCAATAAAAGGAAGTGATCAGTAGGCATAAAAAATGGCTTGCCTCAAACAGCTCCATGACTGGGTAATTCTTAAAGTGACATCAAATAGTAACAATTGGCTGTCATGCACCATATGATTTCAAAACGCATAAAAATATTTATTATTACATGCATTACTATCTAAGAATCTAAGAATATTCCTGAATGTTGTGATGTCTAAAAATTTGCAAATGGTTCTTGCTTATCACAATGATATATTCCGAACTGCTTTAGTAAAATGCTATATATCAACTGCAAAGTTCCTCCCAAATAGTTTACATGCTGCCAGAACATCATGCTACAAATTGATAAAGCGGATATCTCTTAAATTATAAAACTCATAGCCATAAGTAGCGCCGATATGATTAGGTCAACGACGTTTATAGCCCCATGATGCATAATATGTATGCATTTTCATTTCCAAACATTACAGCGAGAATGAGGAATTAAACAGCATAAAATTTGAACGTGTAAATAAATTCTACAAATGCAGTATTGCCATGTGATTACAGCCGGGGAAAATTATCCAAGAAAGAAACAAAATGACAGACATACAATAAAGTTAACTCCTTTCCAGGGAAGTGAAAAAACAGATTTGAGTTTCCTCCACCAACAACAACTGAGTTCAGTCCTTTCAAGACCAGGCTGAACAGGCGGTCCTAAACCCCACAAAGTTCAATTTATAAAACCGATTATGGATATGGCGTGAACGACTCAAGAGCAACCCACACAGCCCCAGAAAATTTGAAACGCTAGATGGTCTAATTAAACCCTAAAAATACCGAAAACTACAGGAAGAATCAAACTTGATATAGCTTGAATCCTGCTAAATCACCGACCGACAGGCCCATGAAAACAAAAATAAGAACTCGGGGAATGCCTTGAAAACTTACCAGATGAAATCAAAAATCCTGATCTATTGGAAAATCAGAGGCTGAAAACTCCGGGAATAAAAGCAGGCAAGCGCTCGCCTATGCTCCGAGTCCGAGAGATAGCAAATTTCTATTGATTAATTATTTGAGGGAACGAAAGAGGCAAAGAACAGCCCCACAGAAACGGAAGGGGTAGAAGACAGAGGCTCTTGGTGGAAGATATAAAAACAAAGATAGAAGGGGAACTAAAATAGGGGCAGTAATCTTTTTAAGCTACGGTCAAAAAAATTATTTTAAAGAAAGTGGAGAAATTATCATGCACTGATAATGATGAGCTCATTTAAATTTGTTTATTTTGGGTAACAAATCACCATAATATTATCATTATCAATTAATTTAGATTTGACATGTTATTCACAAAATTTGCATATGACATTTTATTTAAGAGTGACGTGGATGTTATTTAATTTTAAACTTCTATCAAATCCAAGACCTTACCTGAGGTGTGAAAGTATTCATTCGTGATATTTAGATACAAAAATGGAATCAGTAATAGGATCCAATATAATTAAAATCTAATCTATCTAACTTTAACTTCACTCTGAGATGATCAGAGCTGAAGAGAAAAAGCCACAGGCAGGAGGCTTCTGTTTGGCCGCTTACTTCCGTGTTTTTACTTTCCCTCTCTCAAAGTAAAAGCATTAACGAGACAGCGCAGAGAGAAAGAGGGAGTACACCCTGCGTTTCCATACCCTTCACGCCAACCACCCCTGACTTCTCTCTTTGCCTTTGCCATTCAAATCACATTCATGTTCACATGCCTTTCTTTTTGTCGCGAGGCATGACTTTAGGTCCGGTTTAGTTTAATGTGCTACCACCAGAAAAACAATATGATGATTACTACACACGTGGAATTAGCTATCATAATTAGGACTCGGACCTGGTGAGCAGAATTTGCCATCCTTTTTGAATACGCGCTCGCTTTGTATGAATCTTTGACTATATGTAAGGACTCTTTCTTTGTGATGAACCCATAATTTATGGGTTAGGAAATGAAATGACAAAAACATGTACATGATAGGGTGGCTATATTTCATGTCAGTGCGTTTATAGGTGCAGCCTATAACCAAACGGTCATTGCTCTTGTAACTTTTGGGTGAAGGGAAAGAACCGACGAGGCCACCTACTTTGCACGTTAAGTTTTTGGTGTGAACAACGAATCCAATACAATAGCCTTCACCTCCGCAAGTGGCAACTGTCAATTCTGTTGTCTCCTTTTTATTGGCCAAACACGTTACACAAAGGCAGGTTCTTCTTCGGCTAAAGCTTCCATATATCTTTCACTATTTATTCTTTCTTCAACTATTTCGGCCATCTCTGTGCTTCCTTTCTCCACCAAATTTTTTGTTGATTTTTTTAATGTCAAAAAAGCTAATTACTTTGCCTGCCGTCTCCCAAGGAGTCTGTTAGATAGAGGGGTCAAGATTAACTGAACCAAGTTCCTTTGAAAACCAGCAGGATCCCCCATCCATAAAAATAAAAATAAGTATCGAGTATCAAATATCATCCCAGCATAAAATAAGGATAACCCATAATTCGGTGATATGTATACATCAGATGTTAGCAAAAATATAAATAATCATTATGCTAGTTGAGATAATGGCTTAAAATAATGAAAATATTTATCTATAATAATACAAAAGAATATTATCTGAAGAGAGTATATGATCAAAGGAAAAAAGGACAATGTCTCTCTATAGGCACGACACATTCTTTATCCACAGTGATGGTCATACAATTTCGAGGTCGGTTCGACCGATTTTCCAGCCCTTTGATTTTCCCCGTATTAAACCAGACGTCAGGCAGCTGAATGAATCAAAGCAATCGGTCCAGTTCGGTTCTCAGAAAAGTGATCCCGTCCACTTCTCACACTTATTTATTTTTAAATTAAAAAAGCAGACACTAACGGATTAAAGTTACAGGAGAGATTGAATTTATGACCTCTTAGCTCTTGCATACAAGAAAACATATAATGGCTTTGAATCCTCACAATCAGTTTTTGAGGTCACAAAGCAGATGTATATTTATATATATCCTCCTGGTTCGGCTGGCAGGCACTGGGAAAATGTAACAGTAGTAGTAGTACTAATAATTTCGCCGGTGCTTTACGAAACCGATATATTTTGCAGTTGCGTCAGCAAAAGAGGGTGGAGAGTGGAGTAATGGAGCAAGGCATTAATAGTTGGTGAACAGCGCGGTAAGGTATTCAAAGGAAGCAGATTTTACAAGCGCTAAAAGGGGAAAGCATGAGCTAAGCAGCGATAAATAAGTGGCATGTGCAGCGAAAGAGTATGCACATGCTTCGGGTGCAGGGGATGGGACATGGAGCTACCTTTTGCCCTGCATCCACCACACTCTGTTGCCGTCACAAGGTGCATTAAATTGAATTATAATCGACTGTTACGCCTCACGGGCCAAACTGATGCACATACGCCTACACACCAGAGAAACAACGCACCCTGATCCAATTGTGAAATAAGACCACCCACTAGTAAAGTTAGTTGCGAAATTGGTGCTGCATTATATGAGTCATAAATCATGAGATAATAAGTGTTCACACGTTGACACGTTAACATTGGAAAGCAAGGGAGAATCAAAGGACCAATGCTATCCACTCAAATTAGCTGAAAAAGCACTCGCCACTGCAAACCCTGTTGAGGCTTTTTTATGAATGTGAATTCTGATGTCACTAACCAATCCCTGTTCAAACTAGAGGCAAACGGAGCAAGAGACATAAATCACGGTGTGTATAACACAACCACAAGAAGACTCCCGAGGATAACAACTCTGTATCTTTTCAAGCTTTGTTACACCACTAACGAGATGATCAAGCTGGCACAAAAAGTTGATTTCGGGCAAGCTTAAACTATGATAACATCGTCACACTCTCTAAGTCAATACCCAGAAACCCAGGAGAAAAAAGTAAAAAACCGTCATTACACAAAGTTGGAATTCCTATCAGGTCAAGCATCTTTATTCGGAAGCTGATGTATCAATACCAAGCTTACACTTCAATGGAACGTAGACGAGTTAGAAAGTATTTATTAGCCAGCACCACAAACACCAACCATAGATCAGTCATCATTAACCTATTCAATGATACAGTTGGGGAAAAAAAAAAAAAAAGGGACACGATGCCTTAAATAAAAGTCTAGACTCTATTTAAGATTTTTTCTTAATTTATTTGAGAAGAGGAAACTCCAGCAGATATCATGGCTGTCCAGCAACGAGGCATCAGCCACCCTAATAGAATCATAATTAAGGAAGAGAAAGAATAGATGAGTCAAAATTTGAACTTTCACAGCCAAGTAAAACAACAATCTCAAATAACTTGTTTAACTCTGTCCAAGATATCGACATTTCCCCAAATTTTAAGAACAAAAGTAAACACAACTGTTCAGAAATGTCTTTAGAATTGAAAAAACACTACATGCAGACGGATCTCAGGAATTTTTTATCCTGAAAATGATGTCAACCACATGCTGCAGTGAGCAGGCAAAAACTTTACGGCACCAACTGTGCAAAACACGATTTTGGTAACACCAAATAACAGACCAATAATATGTAAATAATTAGATATAACCTGTGTTTAAAGACATAATTGATCCTGATAAAAACCAGATGCTGTCAACACACACCAAGTATTACATAGCAGTCAATATATTCTGGCATCAGGCTCCTCTAAAATGTGATTGAAGTGCACCTAGTAGCCTTTGGCAAGCAAATCAGGGGAGTTGATTTTCATATATCCATATATTGCTATTAGGTTGTTCCTGATTTATAAAATTTGAAACCATTAGTTTTATCATCAACAATGATCAACTCTGTGCGTTTCTATCCATCTTTCTAAGATGCACCCTGTTCTTTAGAGGATCTTTTCCCGGTATTTTGTTACGTTCAAGCTACCTAATCTATTACCTAGTATTATGAGTATAAAAGAACTCAACCAATTTGAAGTAGCGAACAAATTTTCAGGTAGCAAATAAGATATCATATTTTAACATAACGAGATATTGTATTTTAACACTTGTGGAGATCCATAACTGATAGTAACCTGATATTGCCTCTGCACATGAAAAGATGTGAAACAGCAAACACAATAAGCTAGAAGGAAACAAGTCTTCCCGCAAGACACTTCGTACATTGCACTTATTCTGCTTATACCAGTGTAGAAGCTTGTAAGTTCCATTTATCAAAGCCAAGTATATCAATCTCTAAGCACATGGCCTTTCACTAGGCTTACAAGAATGAAGTCTTCTTATGAGGCAATCGGTAGACTGTTTTACATTCCTCTCCTACTAGTGTAAACTTTTGCATGTCTCATTTAACGAAGCTAAAAATATCAAACTCTAAATGTAATCTTCCAGAGCAATTGCCTTCCATTAGATATCGAAAACAAAAAATTGCATGCCCAAACTAAAGATCTGCTGATTAACTCCTCATGATGGGTTCGGTGGCGTATTTACAATCATCTATTGATCTACCAACATGCTATCTTAACAAGTGAAGTGACCCTTCCACTTCATTTGCTGCAACCTCATTTAAAATTATGCTTCTCCATTGTATAGGGAAATAAGGGTTACTTAATATTCTAAACCCTTGTGTATTTGCAGGATTGTTAACCCATACTAAATACAGCTGTTTCAGATCATATGTATCGTGAGATTAGGACTACTATTCACTTATCTTTCCCAATCAGCTAAATCAAGCTAGATCATCCAACTCAATGAAATCCTCCTCTAGAATCGAAAGCAAATCTTGCTGAGATGCCAATTCCCCAACAAATATTGCACCACCACCAGGAAGTCCAGAAACATTTTCCTGCTAACAAGCATAGGCAAAAGGAAAACATGAGGAAAAATAAATTACAAAATATGACACTAGTTTTTACGTTAACGATCAAGAACTGTGTCATGCATAAGATGTATTGACATAATGGCTATCTAAAGCCCAAAAACAGGGACGTACTTCAGCCAAGCTGCCACGTCAACACGAGAAATATCTGCTAAACAGTGATCTTGATTTCCCCATTTAAAAGATTACTTATCTATTAGTACAAATGTGAACTTACTAAGGGACAAATATAATAAATAAAATTGTACTAAATACACGTTTATATATTTCCAATTTTCCAAAGCATAATTTCGCACAGTTGA